GCCGGAGCTGCTGCTCTAGTTCCTGGTAATAGGGGGGATCTCTGAGGGTAGACCACTCGGCCCCAGCGCGAGCGCCAGAGGTAACAGATGGAGCTGAGGGACAACAAAACTGTGAGCCAAAATGTTCGGCCTATCGCTCTAACCGTCGTTGAAGATGGGTGATTAAGGTGCCATCCTCTTCGCATATTGTTTCCCTTATACCAGATCGAACACCTTCGGTAACTCGAATGAGATGGAAAAGTTTTCTAGTATTACCAGAGAGACTAGCAAGCTCCATTTCCCTAGTACGTTCACACCAACAGGTTTCGCGGTTCATTTGCAGACTCCTGCTCAACTCTCGACCCAGGGATTGGCTTTCTTCACTGTGTCTGGAATCCGACGGGATCAAGCGGCTTTTGTCCATCAGCGACAAGGAGACTTCGCAAATCCAACGCTTCCGTGGGTGACGGGCAACTCCATAAGTGTCGATACTGACGGAAACTAAGGCATCTTTGATATGCGCCCACTGCGAATCGAGATCACGGTCAATAGTTGAGTCAAGCATGGTTGACAGTGAGGTTTGGTATTTGGTTAAAATCGCAGGGTTTTGTACATTTGCGAAGTCCGGTCGGTAGTGAGCGCGCTTAGGTGATTCTCCGAAATGCATGCAAATCTTTGCACGAACCAATGCTTGATCGGAGTCTAGATAAGTTTGCCAGTAGGATCGGTAGTCCATTACGCCTCCGCGCCATCTCTAGCTGATTGCTGTGTGGTCAAGCTGGGAGCACTCTTGCGTTTATGAGGGCGGGCGCCAGGTAGCAGTGTGTCTCCTCGAGCGTCGAAAACTAGTGCTCGAAAGAAACAAGCGTTGATCAGAGCAAAGTACAAGCAGTCTGGCTCCATTGTCTGATCGAATGCCACCGAGACCAAAACTACCACCAAGGTGCTGCTCGCTTGGTGGGAGGCGGCCAATCCGTGCGTTAGTCCCCGGCAAGTATGACTATATCAGTCCTTTTGGAGGAACGCAGAAGTTCATGTAGCTGCTGGTAAAAGCAATCTTTAACTGCATCCGGGCTGCAGTCTGTAGGGGCGTAGGCGGAGACGACAAACAACGCACGCTTAACGTCTCGACGCCTGCTTACGTTACATGACCCTCGTAGTCTGACTGCATTTAGGGGACTGTTGACTGGGATCCAGTCAAGCAGAGCTGATTCAGCCCTGTCACTCAGTACAACTCAAACACCAGCTTGGCCATTGGCGACAGCTTCTGGGTCTCCGGAAAGCCGCAAGTGGTATTTGGCATCAGAGTTTACCGGAGAGGCCATTCTGGTGACGGCGCTAGAGTCTTGAAATCTGGTCTCTGAAAAGCAACAGGTGTCTACCGAAAGCGTTTCAAGAGTACGGGCCAGACATGCTTGTCGTCCGATCTACATCAAAGTTCGAACATTAAACGCTGCGAGGATGAACGGAGAACCAGGTTGAAGAAGAGCTGGAGCTTCGGTGGAGTGAGAAGCGGTTGCGATCGCAGGACATTGAAAACCGTGAGTTTGGCTGTTGCTTCCGTCACTTGCGAGACGTCGGTCGTTTGTGACGGTGACCGTAGAAGACATAAGAGTACATGTGGGTGAAGGACGGGAGGTGGGGTGATCTGTGAATGGAGGTTGAGCAGTTGAGTTTGCATAGAAGATAAGCATAACAGGAGTAGTGGTAAATCAGTGTGGTCCATGATTCGTCAGTGGGTGTGATACTACCCGGTTGCCCAGGCCGAAGTAGGAGGTTGTCTTAAGGGGCCCTACCCCGAGCCTTTGATCAAAGATCTAACCTACAAGGCAGCAGGGCGATGTGAGGGCGTCGCAACCCGTTGGGAGCCGGTGACCAGATAGATGGTTCATACGACTTTCGGTCCGTGAAGGAGCAGGGGCCCAACTCACCCTTGAAGTATAATGCCTCTCAGGGAGGAGCAAGGGACAGTGACTGTATCTTGTGACGAGTCACATCCGCCACGTCGCGGTGTTGTTAAACAGACATTTGTGGCTTTTTATGGGGAGAAAGCTTGCCAGGCGAAAACCCACCACGTCCTGGAACACTGCCGCCGAACCATTTGCTGGAACCGGATAATCCCGAACCATCCAGCTGGCACCACGAAGTTGTTCGGCAAGCCAGTCTTGTTCAGCAAGCCAGCCTTGTTCGGCAAGCCAGCCTGACCTAAAGATTTCATGCCAGGCGTGCAATCCTTACGGCCACCGGCCGACAATTGCATTTGCGGTCTGGGTGTATCCATCTCCCGTCTAGTTTGACAGTTTGGGTACCCCCGAATATATATCGCTACGTCCCATCTCACGGTTGGCCAAAATACTCGTCTATATAACAGGTCAAAAACACTCAAATCCCATGTGTGCGCTATATAATAGAGTATTTGAATCACGTGTACAGCCTATCCTAGAGTCTGACAAGTCCCTTCGCCTCTTCCCATGGCTTGGTGCTTATTTATAAATGGATACGCCGCGACCTTACCAGTTCGTTCTTCAATAATAGTTTGAGTAACTTACTGTCCTCCACTGTGACTGTATACATGGATATCGATGTGTCAGGTCTGATGTGCAACGCCCGACGCGATAGCGTTATTTATACCATCTATACGTCCGATGGTGAAGGGAACTGCATCGAATCAGTATGCCTCTTGTGCCAGACGTCCACGCGGGTCTTTCGTTGTCGTCAACCACGAGAGCGGTTTGTGGTCCGTCATTACATCGAACTCAGTTGCCAACAGTTTGGTTCTCTATTTTTCCAAGGCATACACGATCGCAAAGCATTCCTTCTGTCGTAGGGTATTTCTGTTCAGCATCCGTCGGCACTCTACCGGCATATTATACTACTCCGGATGGTTGGTTTAGCACTGCACCGATTGCGATATCGCTTGCATCGTCTGCCACGGTAAACTATTTCTTCGGATTGGGTATCTATAAGCACCTTGGGCATTCTGTTATGCATGCTTTTTTGCGGTTGAAAGCATCCTCTGCTTTAGTTACCCACACGAACGGCTGGTCTTTGTGCAACTGCTCAACTAATAGACATGCTCTCTAAAATATGAGGGACGGATTTGGAACGGTATGCCGGTACCCCCAAAAAGGAACGAAGCTGAAGTCCGGACATCAGGACCACAAACGTTTGATGGTCTGACGCTTCTTTGGAAGCGGCTGCACTTAACCATTCTCCACAGTGTGACCCAACACACACAATAGATTTCTGGGTAAGCTGTGACTTCTTACGACTAAGCTTCAGGCCGGATTCCACCAGTCATTGAAGTACAGTCGAGAGTTTGGCACCGTGTTTGTTTTCCATCTCAGAGAAAATAATGATGTCTTCGCCAAAAACAACCACACATTGCAGATTCTTCAGGACTTTCATCAGTAGGCGTCTGAATATGGCATGGGCGTTGCACACTCCAGACAGCGTTCTCACTCGCTATGCTAAGCAAATGGATTAGCTTTTTGCCGGTATCTGCCACCAGACCGCTAACCCACTTACGATGATGAGGTCACCACGACTGATGACGAGACGTCTGCGATCCACTTGCCCAGCTCGCTAAGCAACTCAACTACTGAACAAAGAATCACGGCTACCAGCATTCAGAATTATTTCGAACTCGCACCTCATTCTAATGTGCGCATTCAGAGAGGGGGATGGTATTGTGTGCGCACACCGCCGGTTCTCTGTCGCCTTACACAAGTACACATTCTGTATTCTACAGCTGATTGGAGGAATGTTTATTGATTGATCTCCAGCACAATTAAGGTGCCCAGTCTGTCACCTTTCCAGAGTAGATAACCCTACTTGTGTTCTGTCCATGTTTCTTTCCTGGGTTTGTGTTGTAGTGCTACAGGGTCCGATTTGTGCATAGGCCAAGTGTGTTTACCGGGAAATATAGGCTTCCGGTTGGGCAAACAGCAGTCGACCAGGTGGTCGCTGTTCAGGTAATGCTTTATATGTTTTGAGGTAGCATTGGTTATCCCAGTTTAGCCACTTTGTACGCCTTTTTCTGGTGATGCACCTACTGGTTCTTAAGTGGCTCTCATACTATGGTGGCTTTCGAACTGTGGCCCAATAAAAATCTACTTCTTATGAACTGTTGGCACTCCATTCCACTCGGTTTCACCCCAAAAACGTTTTATTACTTGCAACGCACGTCGCTGAATTGTAACGTGTATGACGGTGTTCCACGGCTTGCGTCTGGATTGACTGAAGTGCAGAGCCTGCTGGCTCTGTGAAACAGAGTGAGGACTAGAGAGCTGTCGTGCTGTATCGCTGAGAAGTTCTCATGATGTAGTTACAAACTTGTCCACCTTGCTTTCCAATTTTGCAGCACAGTAGCTGAGGTGTTTTCCACCTCTACCTAACTTGTATAATGATGAAAAGGATGTTTTCAAGCAGACTTAATATTTTGCTCGAATTATTCAGTCGATTGGTAAGCAGCATTTCAAGATATGGAAAGCAGTTATGATGTTTATTTTCACGAGTTGCAGTAATTTCGAGTGGATTGGTGATGCCCCAATCCGTGCCCATGAATATCAGTGTATCGTCAGTTTACAGCTTATGTGGAAGTGCCGATATTATTGTGTCATTCGTTTTCTTGTCAATCATACTCATGAATGCGTCTGCCAGCAATGTGCCTGGTGGGCTACCCATCACCGCATCGTCTGTCTGTATTTGTGTTTCCAATAAAATACTTTAATGTGTCTATGTGATTAAAACTGGCACCTACTTCAACATTCGTAATGTGCTTGATATCCTTTTCATGAGGTAAACTTATATAAGCGACTATATCCATCAGCGGAATGTTGGCGAAGAAGGGTTGCATTGGCTTTTGGGAGTATTTCGAACCACGAGGAGATAACTAATTCGGATCCGTAAATTTTAGGCAAGCCATACGCTTTGGGGCACGGGTAAACGCAAGCTTCCTATAATTACCCAAAGCCACTGCCCCGTTTCCGGTGTAATTCTGTAATTCCTTTCACTTTCAGGTACAACGTGACAATGAACGGCATTGCTTCCAGGGACGAAGATGCAATGACAGCTAGGATGCGTTACCTCATGGAGGCAAGCGAGTGTCTGTCATGGTCCATTTAGTTCAGGCTGTATCTACGCGAAAAAGAGCTCTGACTATAGTAGTTAGCTCAAAAGACTTCTGCTAACCCGATCTATGAGAATTGCTCAAGTTTATTGCCAATGGGTTCATGGGGATTTTGCCAAATGACTTATGGTATTGAGTACCGCATATTCCTCCGGAATTTCTTTCGTTGGAATGCTTAAGTTTTCAGTATTAGATCAAGTCTGTAGCTGGTATTTTTCCGTTAAATAACACAATGTTTTGAAAAGCGCGGAAAGAAGGCGAACACTGGTAGATGCATGTATTTTGTATTGTGTCTTCAGTACCATTAACAATAACAGATATGTCTATTTATAGTTACCATTGGGTGTGATCAGGCTTGCTTGAGATGCAGAGTGAGAGACGGGAGTTTACACCTATATCCATGGCAGTCTTAAGCTGATGAATAATTGTTTTTGAACGCACAGAGCTGGATTCGTCCAGCTCATTGCGACCGATTCAGCAAACCAACGGTGGAGTGGATTAGTATGACGCAACACAACTGTGAACGCTGCCATGGTTACCATGGTCATAAGTGTGAACTTTCGTCCCTCATTCTGCACTTCAAGCAAGCCTTGTTACATCCAATGTATGCCTCTGCCAGTGTTTGTCTACTTTCCGCGTTTTTCAAGTTTCTAATTGGAACTAATTGCTTTGGACAAATTGGTTATAAGGTTAGAGTTTAGTACCAAATGGAACAGAACGGATAAATCGATGTGCTCCGGCCAACACACCGCGAAAGCAGGCAGGGTGTTTCAAATTCTTGGAAGATACTTGGAACCGATCGAGTAGTCATGAGTTCAGAGGTTTGAAAATAATCGATTGGTATAGTAGTTTGGTAACTTTTCGCCCTTGACACAAGGGCTTCGTCAGACCAGGTGAATCAGTGTGCAATCGGGGTGGGATTTTATATCGAACAGGGACGATAACCGCATTACCCGAGATTTGAGCCCTGGTGTCATTACAGCAACAGTTCGTGCTGTTACCTCAGGTGGTTCAATTGCAGTGGAAATAGTTCAGGTGTTCTTTTGTACTTCATGACATTGACGGATAAGCCCATAATGTTGACAGTGGGAGTCGGTTTGCCCTTTCCAATCTGATCCACGCACCGATGCTTGTCAGGCTGGCCGGCTTAAGATCTCTCGCCACGTAGTAGGGAGTTCTACCCCCTCCATTCTATTCACGCAGTCGTCCGATTTGGCAATTTCCACCGCCTCGGCAATCAACCGATGAGGTGTTGATCGTATATCCCTCCCAATGACTTCTACATTTTCCAAGTCTATCTGCTTATTGACTTTATTTAATGAATAATGACGAGATGCAACCAATCATCACATAAATTCGGCATCCAGAGGAAAACCTCTTATTATTGCAGCAAAATTAGTGAACACGGTTAAATGAAAAGTGAGGCATTACTGTTTTACTCGCAAAAGGCACCAGAAATGGGCCACTCTCTTGTTTCAGAGCTGATGAACTGTTGATGTAGTAAACCACATCTTTTGCACTATTCTTGCTATGCAGTTGAAGCCGCTAGTATAAGTGGAATAGATGGGAATGTTAATTAAGATGTGCCAAATTTGTTTCATAAGGAAACTTTTACTGACACGGCACGTTGCACTAACACTGTTGGGCTCAAATAAGCACGTCCTCACGACGATTTAAAATTATTCCAGCTTTACTTTCGACGTGTCCAGAAAAAACAAATTGCCGCTTAGTTTTCATAGATATGGGTGAATTAGGCTCATGTGCAAAATTGTTCAACGGATTTACTGTGAGACGCTTTCCGATAAAGCTTCTTTACACCAGGACTTGGGAGAATTTTACTTGTTCCCAGACCACTGGGAACGCCTTGCCTAGTCGCATCGATATCTACACGCTAGTAGTCGTAACAGTAGTGAACAGTGTATTATCAACCAAATGCACATGATGAGATCTCGAGTGCTTAAGGATAATCGCCATCACCTAGGCCCGCAAAAGCTTCATTTCTTTGTTCACCTGCGAGACCTGATTGCCACTAGTAGTGAGAACTAATTACACCAAGCAGTTCCTTAGCTAAGTGTCCCTTGGTGGTGTCTACAAACGCCCATTTACCTATTTGCGATTTTCTGATATTTCCTAATCACAAGGAGACAGCGGTCAGTCGACATCTCAGCTGCATCACTGATGCGCTCAGTAGAGTGAATTTACCTAGTACCACTCCTTTTGTGTCACAGGCCTTACAAGAACGACAGGATTTGAAGCACAAAGGGGACGAATTAGATGTGCAGGTCAGACTCGCTGAAGAGGAACTACGAGCCCTGGAGAACACTGTGGTGGTGATGACCTCCTTAAACGAGGTCGCCCGGAGCCAATTGTTTTCAGTAAGTTCACCTTCTGTATCCAGAAAGACCTAACGTGACATTACTCAGCCGCAGAAATGGCTGTTGACAATGGCAGCTCATTAGAGTTTGTTTCGTGCAAAAAGCCTTGGACATTAAAAATCCTGAGGTTAGGGGAATTAATATATATATATATATGTATATATATAATGGAACGGTACCTGTCGATATGACAACTTATTTTCAAGTTTGTTACAGTTCAGTTTGCCCTATTTGACATTCACTGCAGCTGCTTGTATGCGTCAGATAACAGCGGTTACAGTGGCAAAAGGACAAATTTGCCATCCATCTGATCACTCTGACTAGACACTTAGGTCACCAGTTTATCATGTGGGAATTGGTGTTTTGTTGGACCTACAAGGCACCTTTCAGCTTGCAAATCTCCGGTGCATCATTTAGGCGGCATGACTGGACACTCTTGAACAAAATGACAGGCTCCTAGTGAACAACCACTCTAATAGGATATTGTGTGACATGGCAGTGGCAAATAACGAACCGGGTCGATTCTTTGACTGATTCTCCTTAGCACTATCCGGACGCAGGCAACAAGGAAGTGTACATCACCGTTGTTGCACCATCAGTGCATCTGAGCTGTCATTATTAGAAGATATTTAAAGAAGAGCAATGGGGCCGCTCAAGCTCACAGAACAAAGACTACACAATGCAGAAACTGGAATGTTTCCAACTAGGCGTCTGATACATGTTCGAAATCTACACAATTGTTAGCGCGGACTGCGTGCGAAGCTGGAAGCTTGATGGAATAGCTACTTTTGAGGATTCAGAAGCTTGGGTTTAGGAACAAAATGACAATGACTGTTCCGTTACCGGAGTATAAGGTTCTGGGCAGATCCTTAAACGCATTTCGACAATGTTAATCCGACTTAGACTGCGGAGACGTAACATGTACATGACTTTGTCTTTAAGGCTAAATGGAAAGCGAAACTGGGTCAATACGCAACCATATTGTGCTAACAATGAATAATGAACAATGATTTATAACGGGTAAAAAGCAGGTGCTTGACATGTCCCGTAGGGTGTTAGAGTGAGAAAAGATAGATCAAGGGATAATGGAGTCGTCAGTTCGGGCGATTACAGATTTAACTGCACTGCCGTATAAAGGGAGTTTGAAATGAGAATGTACGCACACAAAGCAATAAGGGAGTGGTTATTGATCACGTAATAGGCGAGAAAAAATAATAGCAAGGACAACGCTTACTCGTGTGCAACTATCTTGGGTCGACGGGATACAGAAATCCAGTTTCTATAGTAGTAGCGTTTATCAAATTTCGTGCAAGGGGTTTGGAGTGACTCATTCTCGAGTAGGGTTATGGCACTATCCACTGTCTGTTGTGCATTAGTGCCAGCATCTGGTGGTCATGGGCTATAGCACGTAGTGTAAATGTGACAGAGTATCGTCAAGGCGTTTTTTGAAAAGGGATAGGGTGGGTGCATTAATTACATGTTCCGGGAGGGCGTTCCAAGGCTGTGACACTCGAAGGGAGAAATAGTTTCGCCGACATTCCAGGCGGCTGTACTGCGTGACCAGCTTAAACTGGTGACCTCTTAGCGGGGTGTTTTGACTGAGTATTAGAAGGGAATGGCATGGGTGGTTGGGGTTTCTCAGGATCAGGTACACCATTATGAGATCGCCCCTTAGACGCCGATAACGTCCACTGTATATTTTGAGGGTCTTCAGCCTGAGTGGGTAGGGGAGGCTGGTCAAACCTCTGACGCTCTTCGTTGCCCTACGTTGTGCAGTATCGAGCGCGGTGAGATGGTGCTTGAGCCAGGGTTGCCACGCTTGAATAGCGTATTCCGCGTGCGGCCTCACGTACGCACTAAGCATTTTTGGAAAGACTGAAGGGTCAAACTTCCCGAAAGCTCTGCGAAGAAGGCCGAGGTACTGGTTTGCTTTCTTAGCTGCCTTTTCAGTCTGCCTCAAACAACCGAGGTCATCTTGAACTATCACGCCGAGATCGCACTCGTGAGAAGCCCGCTGTAGAATTTGTGGTCCTAGGCGGTAGTTGTGCATACTCTTGTGCCGTATGCTGAGAACTTTGCACTTGGTGACGTTGAAATGCAGCATGTTCTCGATGGACCATGTGTACGCTTTGTCCAGGTCCTCCTGTAACACTGTGTGATCCTCCACTGCAGCTATAGTACGCCATACCTTTAGATCATCAGCAAATAGCAAACAGTTAGAAGATAGCACGCTCGCGAGATCATTTATGAAAACCAGGAACAGGCGGGGTCCAAGTACCGAGCCTTGAGGTACGCCGCACTGAACTTCGATGGATTCCGACAGGTTGCTTCTAACCCTCACATTCAGGTGACGTTGCACGAGAAAGTCTCCTATCCAGCCCAGAACAGGATCGCCGATTCCATATTTCTGGAGTTTGTGGAGGAGAATGCGATGGTCTATACGGTCGAATGCCTTTGAGAAATCCAAGTAGGCCGCGTCGACTCCTACACCAGCGTCCACAGATTCCGTCCAGCTTGCACGAGCAATCAACAGATTAGTGGTACAGGAGCGATTTTGGCGAAATCCGTGCTGCTTCGGAACGAGAATTTTGTTGTTCTCCAGGTACCCCATCAAAGCCTCAGCTACAATGGACTCCATAACCTTGGAGATCACAGGAAGTAGTGTTATCGGGCGATAATTTGCTGGTTCAGCACGACTGCCACTTTTGTAGATTGGCGTGATGATTCCGTGCTTCCACATCGTGGGGACGTGCATCTCGTTCAGACATCGTTGAAAGAAAATTGCTAGTGGTCCTGCCAAACTCATGGCAGCAACTTTCAACGCCTTCGGGCGAATGCCGTCCGCACCCGGGGAGCTGAACTCGCGCAGAGACATCAGCCTCTTCAGTACAGCTGCGGAGGTGAACGATATGTGATTAAGCCCTGATGGCGGCGTTATCTGCTTAGGCAGGATGTATGATGATTGCACGCTTTGGAAGGTACGGCCAAATTGTTGTCCAAGAACGTTGGCCGCCTCTTGTGCGGTTTGGGCTAACCCGCATGCTGTGTGCAGAGCAGGAATACCGCGCTTAACACGGCGCAAATTGTTTACGTGTCTGTATAGCAGTTTGGGATTGGAGCAAAACTTTTCCACTAGACCTTGTTGGTTCTTCAGTTTATCCTCCCGGACGAGTTTGACACAGTGGTTTCTTTGTATTGTGTAGACATCCCAGGTATGGTCGTTCGGGGAGGCTATGTAGGTGTGCCATGCCAAGTCCCTTAATGCCATGCATTTACGTGTCCTGCTCCTTACGAAAGACTTCATCCTTTTAGGCCGGCAGAGTTTGGTTTCAGATGTCCTTGCCACGAGCTTGGTAAATATGTTGACGAATTCTCCGCAGGCCACCTCAGGGGTTAATTCGGCTAAGAACGACCAGCTTGTTGCATCAATGAGGTCGGACAGGTCGTCATAGTTGGTTACGACATGATATTCCTCGGCATGCTCTTTAGGATAATCCGCGTAGCACATGTAATGAAACACTAGCGTCGCATGATCACTGCGGCCCAAAGGAGTATCGGTTATCACTCTCTCGACCATCAGTTCTTCATTGGTGAATATTCGGTCCAATATGGATGGCCTGTTAGTTCCCCTGAACCTGGTGGGCGTAGTGACGTGGCCATAAAGCGGGAAGTCTGAAACCAGATCTTGCAAGTCTGCTTTGAATTGCTCTCCTGGTGTGGCCTGGGATTCTAGAGCATGTAAGTTGAAGTCGCCGGTGACTAGAATGTGACTGTACTTCCTGTTTATCACTTGCCTCAACGCAGCCATCAAATTGCAGTCCATCTCAGGAGTAGACGATGGTGGGCGGTAAACAACAACCAATAGGCCAAGATCGTTCCCTCTCAGCCGGAAATTACACCAAATGGCGTCAGGTACGTCGGTTTCCGAATCGTTTATGGGTTCGCATTGCATGTTGTTACGAAAGTAGAGGGCTACCCCACCACCTTTGCTGGTTCGATCCTTCCGGACAACGGACATGCCCGTTAGCGCGATTTCAGCATCCGTTATCTCGCAGCGCAACCACGTTTCGGTGACAGCGATGAGGTCCCAAGCTGCTGACGCGTGTCGAAGTCTTAATTCAGCTAATTTGCTGAGTAGACCTTGGGCATTTGTGTACATGCATGAGAGCTTCTCGGAGACCAAAAGTGTGTTAGATTGGATGGATGAAGCAAGTGAGTTTACGCCGACCAATAAAGGGTCGGCGACTAATCGTTTTTGGATGGGTTGCAGACTCTCGAGACGAATTTGGTATGTAGTCAAGTATCAGATGCCCCGGATCCCGGTGTTTGCTCGTGCTCTGCTGTGTCCCTCCGGATATTATGGCTACTGTTGAAACCGTCCCCGAGTCGGGTCCTGCAGTTGGCGTTTTCATTAAGAGTTGTGCCTCTACTGAATTGTCATTAGAAGGTGCTGGTGTTCCTGCTGCTTTCAGACGAATTTCTGTTGGCAATCTGCAACGGAATTTAGTCCAGTTCTTTAGTAGGGTTTGTGCCGTTAGTTCTGATTGTAACACAAGTTTTAACAGCCTGGGACCGCACCCTTATAGTTTGGTGATATGGGGATCCTTGTCAACGAGGTGGCCACGACATTTTCGAGAGAAAGAGCCTCCCGGATGTAGTGCCATTGCTCGCGGTCGTGCATCTGAGCATCGTCGGAAGAGGAATCAGTAAGCTCAGGAACACCGTGAGCAATCACTGTTTTCTTATCTTGACTTTTTCTGTACCTCTCTTTGTTAGCGGGATCCACTGAACGTTCTTTCCACGGGATTTCGGGTAGTATGCGCACTCCACTTGAGTCGTTGCGGAGACGATTCGCAGACAGCAGAACGGCCTCAGTCTCGTCCGCCGAGTTTAGTGTTACCCGAAGTAACCGGGGTTCGCCGTAGTGCAACGCGTTTGGGTGGCGCGAGATTCTTTTTAATGTCGTGGGATTAGCATGGACACCGATCGACGTACAGATGGAACCCCACTGATTTCGATCGTCCGTCAACTTACCCTTAATTGTATTGGATTTGGATTCGGGGACATTTGTGCATACAATGTTTAGGGCACCATGGTTGCGCCTGGTGGCTACTGGTTTTGGATTTGGAGCCTTAGTATCCGGTGTTTTTGGTGAATTTGTGAACGGCACTGATGGGTGCCATCCGTGCTGCGACAGTTTAGTTTTCTCTAGTCCGGGCACAAAGGTTACCGGTGCTCTTTCCGGTGTTTGCTTGGCGGCAACCGATGCGTACGTTGCCGGGTTGTTCACTATTGCTGGTTGACTGTAGCTTACGGTCTCGTGTGTAGCGAACAGACTACTAGGTGCAGCACACAGTACAGAAGTTGAGGCAGGCGCGCTGCAGGCAATGTTTTTACTTATAGGAGGGAGAGAGAATGGAGTTGATACTGCTGGAGGCTGAGTCGTTGGGGTTAGGTTGGGACGCCTGGCTCGCTTCTTCGGCCTGACTAGGGAATTCGGGGTGTTATTTTCACTCACAAGTGCAGGTCCGTTTCCTCCCATGGGTGTAACTCTGGCGCTCACCAGTTGCTCGACCGCTTCTGTTAGTCTTTCACACCTCTTCAGTAGCACAGCTAGACAGCTAACAAATGGGATAGAATTGCATACTTGGCAGAACCAAAACGCCTCTGCAGTGTTTGTTTTTGTCGACCCCGTCCCAAGGCAGGTAGTGTGATAGGATTTCAAACACATGGTACACACCAGACCATTTTTTACCACTTTAGCACATGATTCGCATTTGCTCTTCATACGAGACATGTTCACAGTAGGCGTGCTGTTTTAAGGGGTAGCAAGAGGACAGAGATACTGACGCACCGTGTTTGACTTCGCTTCACTTTTCGTTGCGTGGCTATCGGCGCTGGTTTGAGGTCAGCGGGGTCAGGCGTGTCGCGTCCAGATGAGTCACACGTTCCTTAGGGTAGATAGGCGACGTGCGTGCTATCGATCCAGCCGGTAAGTGGATAGGCAGCGATGCAGCGTAGGATTGAGGCAAAGCAAGATGACTTGGAAAATACTGTCTAATGACGACAGTGGCTGTTCCAAGGGCGGACCAAATTGACGACTATCGCTTTGTACAGCGACTTGAAGGAATGGTAGTAAGCTGATCGGGTGACTCTCAAAAAGATCTTTAAAATAAGACCACAAGAGTTCTTGTGCGACGAGAGGAAAAATAAATCCTCCGATAAGGTTCAAATACGGTTGACTTCGAAGTTGCAAGAGCACAGTTTGCTGGTGATCCGCGAATGATAGATCCAATAGATGAACAGTGGTAGGAGGAGCTCGCGGAGCCAAATCGAATGATAGCACATAGGTCACTGAAAGAATAAATCTAAAGCTTTAACGGCGAATAACGCAGGAGGACACCTTTTCTGCGACCGCTCGGGAGAGAAAATGAAGTGACGAACCAACATTGCGTGACTAATTGAACGAGGTGGGCTATCAAGAAGTCAAATACAATTAACAAATTACTGAGACATTTTTAGCTCCCCAACACTAATCATTGTTTATTGCTGCGGTGAAGCCGTCGTTGTCCTTTAGGTAAGCACCCCTCGCAAGGTTCCTACATACGGATATGACGCAAATTTGCCACTAGGTGGGTGGGACAACCAGCATCAGGCGTACACAATGTCTACGGGAACCAGAATTGAACTGAGTAAACTCTGTTTTGAGAGGATAGCTATTCCAGTTTCACGAGGCAACCCGTTGTTAGCAACAGATGTATTTTATGTATTGTTCGCTTAAATCACTATCTTAATGAACAGTCTATAGCTTAGTTGGACTATTCTGGTAGTGATAGCTTGGTTAAGACACAATCCCGGGTGGCATCAATCCCAGAGTCCCAAGGACAGAACTGCTGGATTACGGTTAGAAATTCATCTTTCGTCATCTGAGTTACTGCGCATCTAGGTGAGACCGTAGCTCAAGAAGCAAACTGGCGGGAGTTAACAAAGAAAGCTGCTATCCAAATTGCCATTACAAGTTACATTCCATTCGCACAACGGTGGACCCAAGACTAAGCACTAAAAGTCTCTAACTGCAGAATTTGAGCACGGATTCGAGAGTACCACGGTTCTACGCCTTCTGTCTTATGTGATGACATTGAATTAACCAAAATAAGAATAAATTGGATTGACCGCGGTGCACAACACATAGAAGATGTTGTGCTAATTCGGTTCCGTCGCCAGTTTACTGTTGGTTATAAGAGACAACGCGATAAAACGTGGGCTCCCTAGGCCTGAAGGTAAAGCAGCTGGATGAGTGGGAACAAGCGATGCAGAATAATCCTTGCATTCATGTGGTGCACCATTTAGTAAGGAAACCGCAAAAAGCTGGATGAAGAGGATTTCACCACAGCAACTCAGTAGGAAACCGGGTGGTTCAATAGATGCCATTTAAGCAGGTAGCCACCCTGTAGTGGGCTGTGTGAAGACCCATGATATGTCCAACTCTGGTCGGTAAGTGTGTGGAACAGAATACGCACCTAGAAGTGCTGGAGGAAATCGCCTGCCGAGTTTTGACGTACCCGCTGTGTCAATAGCGCAACACGCAGGCCCGCGATGACCCCATCACCGGGCCAGGATCGGCAGTGGACTCTTCGGTTCGTTGCAAATGCTGCACTCAACGACCGGTCTCCTCCTTACGCAGGATCCGAGAGTTCACAAAAATACTCACTAACTGGCGGATGACATATTGATCACTAGACTAAGCAGCTCCGCGTGTAACGTTTGGCAGCAGCGTTTGATGACTCAGAGATGAGTTTTGAGGTACTCGCTGCATATTCATATTCGTGGTCTAACTTTAAATTACGAACTGATTCGGACTAAACTCCCGTTGTTCCGGTTAACGGGATAATCTATTTCTAACCGTTACCCGAACATCCGGGTGGTATAGTAGTAATAGAGTCCATCGGTAATGCAAACTTCTCGAGTTCGGTTTCCACTTCGACCATCTCTTTCGAAAAGTGCGAACAATTACGAAAAGAGTGTTGAGTGCATTGTTGAAGGCAAGAAGCGCTTGAAGTCCGCCTACTTTGAGGGCACATTTGCAAGTGTCGATATGCCAATAATCGGGAACCAACAGGGTATAAATCAACTAACAGCAAGCAACCGCTAATCTCTAAGAGTAGCATATAAAGCTTGAGATAAAAAGTTTATTCCTTTATATACATAGCCAGCCATTGGATATGGCTAGTGCTTATGATAACCCTTTGCTACCCCGATTCGATGCGGTGCTGAAACCGTGGCACAGCCTGATTCCATTTTTCAAAGTAAATGTTTTGCAGTGGGTAGACAAAATCATTTTGTAGAACAGGAAGTTGTTACTCGCAGATACACAAATCAGTTGATTTAGGCCGATCATTAGCAAATGTACTCTTTGCTAACACCCAGCTATTTATGTCACTTTCAGCAAGAGGACGAGGATCCACACAAGATAGAGAAAACGGAATTAGAAGAGAAAATACAGGAAGCACAGACACTATTGTCTGCGCGGCGTGAATATCGTCGCAAACTCCGCGGAAATATCATCGTAAGCCTATCATCAATTACAAAATCTATCACTTGAGAGAATATCATACATAAACAATGAGGACCTTTGTGAAGCAGCCTGGTGTTTAGAGCACTTGATCATAACATTTTACCCTAGAGCGCTAGGAACGCGACGTTCAAAAGTCCAGTCCAGATGCAAAAAATGAACTACCTAATCCATGCATTTTGCACACCTACGGGATTTCACTAAACGCATGGCCCAGTTTGCTACGTTTTTGGGAGGTCCACCGTAAACTGATCAAACACTGCAAAAGTCTGTTGCAAAGGCTATCATGAGTGCTCTTAAAAGTCGATGTTTTCGTATATCCTTCAACTGATGCCACAACTGAGGTTGCATGTCGCAGTACAAGACACACAGTGTGTGCTCCGAAACCCGGCAATCAGTTAGTGTCAACTATTGAAAGACTGAGTCCTTTTCTGTGCTCTCCTTTATCGCAAACTTGCAAAATGTTACCTCAATACAATAAGCCATATGAGAGCGATTGGTGACAAAGGCCATCGCTGCAGACTCAGTTACTGTCATCTGTACTCAGTGGGGCGGCGCTTTCCATAAATAAGAACAGTTTCAAGGGAGCATCATTTTGACTTTTCATGATACCACTCCACTGTATCTGTCACTAGTGCAAAGACATGCGTAACCTAATCGATGGCCCAATAATGTTACACCACAATTACCATTTTAACATTTATCGAACAACAATTCCTATCTGAGATTGGATCCTGTTTACCTTGTCAGACACTAGCAGCCCGATGTCATGACCTCAGTCACCGGATCCAGGAGATTGTAAAACTTTACTGAGTGCAGTTTTAATCAAATAGGTAGGCTCCACGTATGCTCCCAGCGTGGAAAGGTATGCGGCCCACCCACCATTCTGTCCAACAAATCCATCCCGAGATTAAGTCACTCAAGTCGTATAGCAGGGAGCATCAGTGCTTTTGTGTGCGTTGGTCAAGCGCATCATGTGGTGGAATCTCTCAATGCACATGACATAGATCATTTACATGCTAGCACAGCAGTTATTGGTGTGAGCGAGTCTTTCCCCATATGTTCTGGTAAGTTAACCTATCCTTACGACCAGTCGCATGCGATGATTATGCTGTACTCGCATGAACCCTGAGAGCGTCTACTCATGGTGAAATTGAACTCATAGTCAGTGCCGCTGAGTGGCCGCCTCCGAAGTACTCGTGGTTACACACATATGCCCTTGCATGTAACACGTAAATGCCCGTATGAAAATTTGACGTGACCCGTTACTAATAGGAAGACTCCACAACTACCGATTGAGAAGAGAGGGCTTTCTAATAATATCATCTTACCGTGAGTTGGCCAATCTTCAACTACCTTCGATTCATCCATCCTCTGTCATCCTTTAATTTGTCGTAAAACTTTGAACGCTTGATGTGAACTGTTGTGTACACAAGTAGAGAACTACCGTGTGTGAAGTAACGATGCATTTTGACCACATGTTTACCTAACGCTGATTTAGCTAAGCATTAACCGGATGGCTGCCGGTACTGTACGTTTGTGTGTGTACAAGAGAGATGCGTGCAAGCAGCACAGCGTATCTGAGCGTGTAAGCTGAATACACAACATTTCCCACCTAGTCATTGATACGTATTACTCGAGTATTGCTGGATCGCACCTGGACCCTTAGTCCACGCAAGAAGTGAATAAGAACACACACCGGATGGGACGTGTCAATACTGTAATAGATAGCTTGTAGGTTACACCAGATGAATAAGTCGAAAAGGAACCAATCAGCACAAGGAAAACGAGTGGACGAATCAGCTATCGGTCAATCGATCTGTATGTGTCTGTGTTTGCTCATCGGTTTAGCAGAAGACACACATGTAACATCCCCTCACGTGACAGATGGAATCACAGTTGTGAAATGTAACGTTCTATCGGCTTAGGTGAGCGATGCGGTTTCCGAATAGCAATCGGCTGATCGATTTCTTCCGTTTGGTTTTTGATGTCTCCTCCAGATCTTCTGGGACCACTTTCTCTTCCCCAGGGCACGGTGTGACTGGGGTGCGGGGCCGGATTAAATCATTGTGCCTGCGTACTGTCTGTCCACTCTCTAGTTGTATTTCGGCCTCCGTTTCTGAGCTCGTAAGCACGGTGCCAGGCTGCCATAACTGCTCATGTGGTAGTTTCGTGTAAACATCACGTTCCACTATCGACTTCTGGGGCTTAACTGGTGCGCGTCCACTTTCGTACATACGTTGTTGCTGGCAACGCCTGGTCTGACGAGGGTCTGGAAAAAGTAGGTCTAGCCTCGTACGTAGTCGACGCCCAAACATTGCCTCCCCAGGGCTCTTTCCGATAGACTCTAGCGGTGTGATCCGATATGCGAACAAGAATCGGTCAAGTTTGGTTCGTAACGAGCCATTACGCTGCTTTAGAAGACCAGCTTTCACGGTTTGGACCGCTCTTTCAGCTAAACCGTTTGACGCTGGATGGTACGGTGCGGAAGTCATGTGATGAACGCCGTTGCTCTGCAGGAATTCTTTGAACCCTGCACTCCTAAATTGCGGACCGTTGTCAGTGACTAATGCTTTCGGTATGCCATGTGTAGATAGACTAGAGCGTACGCCATTGATTGTAGCTTCTGCAGTAGCGTTTGCAACAACATGCACATCAATCCATTTGGAGTACGCATCTACTAAAAGTAGCAACATTTTTCCTTCGATCGGGCCAAACTAATCGGCGTGGACACTTTCCCATGGGCTGTCGGGCAACTGCCAAGGGTGAATTGGGCCTGTTGGATTATCTCTTTGATATTTTTGGCATGTGTTACAAGTACTCAAAAGTGCTTCGATGTCTCGGTCAATCGCTGGCCACCAGCAGTAGGATCTGGCGAGGGCTTTCATGCGGACAATACCTGGATGTGCATCATGCAATTCTTTCAGTACAGCTGACCGGAGAGTCAATGGAATAACGATGCGAGATCCACGTAGGATACATCCTTCATGCAGGCTCAGCTCAAATCTACAATTGAAAAACGGACGCAGATCACCAGGGGCTCGCGAACCCCAGCCACGCAGCAGCATACGTTTCACAGTCGATAGAACGGGATCTCTGTCTGTAGCTTTCCTAATCATGTCGCCAGATATGGGTAGTATTCAGATGTTGCAAAAGTTGAACAAACTCGTAGGGCGCGTCACTTCCTTCCTCCTGTTGGTCAATCTGTGGCAATCTACTGAGCGCATCAGCGACATTATTGTGAGAACCGGCAATGTATCGGATTTGCTAATTGTAAGCAGAAAGTAGGAGGGCCCAGCGTGCCATTCGGGGTGCGTTAAGTTGTTCTATGCCTCGTTCCTTACCGAGAAGTGATAACAGTGGTTTATGGTCCGTCTGTATCTCAAACTGGTTGCCCTACAAGTACTGATGGAACCGCTTTACTCCGAATACTACGGCCAGTGCTTCCTTGTCTAATTGTGCGTAATTTTTCTCAGCAGGTTGTAATGTGCGGGACGCGTAAGCAATAGGGCAAACTGTCCCGTCGTGGACTTTATGTCCCAGCACTGCCCCGACTCCAAAAGGTGAAGCATCACACTGTAGGATGAGGGGTTTGTTGGGGTCATAATGTACCAAGACTGGTGAAGAAGCAAGGAGACCTTTTGCCCTGTCAAATGCTTGTTGCTCTTCCTCGCCCCATGCACACTTAGAATCATTTTTCAGCAAGTTGTGAAGTGGTGCTAGAACAGAAGCCAGATTATGTAGGAGCCGACGATAATGTGAAAGCATTCCAACGAACGAGCGTAACTGGGCTCCGTTACGAGGTGTGGGTGCAGAAATAATGGGTTATAATTTGTCTTTCGTTGCGTGTAAACCATGCTTGTCCAGTCTATAACCGAGGTAGTCAACTGAATCAACTAGGAAAGCACATTTGGAGTGTTTCAAACGCAAACCGTGTTCAGAGAGTTTATGCAACACCCGGTCCAACGTGTACAAGTGCTCCTTTTCTGTGCGACCCGTGATAAGGATATCATCGAGATATGCGCAAGTGTTCGGTATGTCACGCACGATATTGCCAATTATCCTTTGGAAGATCGCCGGCACTGAGTTAATCCCGAAAGGCAGTCTAGTGTATTCGAATAGCCCCAAATGTGTACTGATCGTCGTGAGACGTCGGGAGGTCTCATCCAACTCTACCTCCGAATGGGCGTGACTCAAATCCAATTTAGTGAACTTGACTCCTCCAGACAAGTTGGCATACAAATCCTCAATTTTCGGTAATGGATAACGGTCTATGACTGCACCTCGATTTACTGTAAGCTTATAATCACCACAGATTCGTACGTTACCGTCGGGCTTAAGTACAGGTACTATCGGGGCCGCCCATTCAGCTTGTTGGACTGGTACAATTATACCTTCTCTTTGAAGCCTTTTCAGCTCGTCTTCCACTCTAGGTCGTAAGGAATAGGGCAGTGTTCTGGCCTTAAAGAACCTTGGTGTACTTGAGTCTGACATATGGATTTTTGCTTAAAATTATTGAGTCTGCTCAATTGCTGCTCGTCAAACACTTCTGGATATCGTTTAAGGACCGATTCAAAGGTATCCTCCCCCACGGAGTGGATAGTATATAATACTTGTGGTAACCTTTTCATCCAATCGCGACCAA